GTTGCTAAAGTACAACTCATGACGTCTGCTTTGACTTAGGTGGCGGGAGCTATGGCAGAGACCGGAAAATATAGCGCGGAGCAGATTGAAGCTATGTCTAACAAGCTCAACGAAAATGCCGGTAAATTACTATTAATCAATTATTCATTTATTTATTATTAATTATTTCTACTGATTTAATTGTAAAGTCACTTGCATTACTCGATAAAATAAGGTGAACACGTGGATGAGAATATATAGGTGCAAATCGAATTCATGCAATTTTTAGGCACTATGGGGGTATCCCTTTACCCCTGCAGTGTACCGGGACACGGTAAAATGTTTGACATGCCCAATGACATGATGGAAGTTGGTCTTGGAATTCATGGGGAGCCAGGATGTCGACGAGAAGCAATAGAAAGTGCTGACAAAATCGTGAACACAATTATGACAAAGCTACAGGAGGTCGTAAAGTTCACGAAAGGTACGTTTAGTCCCAAAACCCTACAGTGAGCTTTCCATGAAGTAATCATATTGCAGAGGAGCCTATTGTGCTTCTCATCAACAACCTAGGCGGCGTATCCCAAATAGAGATGGGCATAATTAGAAGTGAAGTGGTTAAATGGTGTCGTGAGTACTTCTTTAACTCTTTCTCAGAACTCTCCTACAAGACTAAAAGCCCAATTTCAGGTCAACACAGCATACAAATAGCACGACTTCTATGTGGCACTTACATGACCTCCTTAGATGGGCATGGCATCAGTCTCACAGCTCTAAAAGTATTCGACAAAGAAATTTTGGACTTTCTCGATGCTCCCACTTCAGCTCCAGGATGGCATGGAGCCGATAAGCTTGGCAGACCGGAGACTGCACCTTCATCCGACAAGGGTCAATCTATAGAGGTGCAGACATCTTCCAAAGGGATAACACTCACAAAAGGTATCTACAAAGCGGCTCTTTGAATTATTAGCACAAATTATAGCGAGTTGAGGTCGATTTTTAGAGCAAGCCGAGTTAGCGAAAAAGTGTGTGCTTGCGGTTTGCGATAAGATGAATGCAATGGAATCAGAGTTAAATGCATTAGATGGAGCTGCAGGCGATGGAGATTGTGGATCAACATTTGCACATGCTGCAAAGGGTGAGCATATTTTTTAGAATTGAAGGATAAGCTTTTAGTATATATTATGGGCGTCAAGCTCTCCGCAATTTATAACTTATTTTAATGGACAGATCTAAGTTAAATACGTTAAGATTGTTTTTTTATTAAGATATTCAGAACTGAAATTTACTGAGGAATGCAATTACATATAAAGATATGAAACGACTGTCACTTGTAAACGCCGCTATTATCTTCCAGCTATTAACGAACGAATGAAAACCTTGGAACTAAATAGCGCACAACAGCTACTCTTCAATATATCCGAGGTATTCGAACAAGAAGTGGGAGGCACTGGTGGAGCGGTAGGTATTTTATGAAATCCAATTCTTTTTTT